TAATATGGACGTGGGATAGGTACGTATTGTTCGAAGGACATTGTATGAGCCAAAATTTCCCTATAAGTGACATTTGTTGCAATACACATAGGTTTCTTTACTAGTAGGTACCAGATGTTTTATTGGACATCCAGACTGGTGCAATGCATTACCATATATACATTAACATGCAGTATTTAACATGCGTTGCACAAGGCAGTCAATTCAAAATGAATCCACCATCCATCCATTTATTTTTGTACAACACTACAATGCACAAGGAAGATGTCCTAAGTGCTACAAACTGAACTCCAAGTTCAAGGTAAGTCTGGTACATATGGTGTGCTAAAACACGTTGGGGACAAATTAGGGGGGCTGCCTCTCCTTCCGCAAAGCTCCTGTGACAGGTTTACACTCCCGTGTATCTCTATTCCTCGGCAGCCAAGTTAGGGTTGCCACCTTCTCTTCAAGCCAAACCCGAACACTGTAGCGCCTCGCGGCAATTTTTTGGTAAAGTACGCGGTGCGCATATTTTGTGATTAAATAACATTGGAGGTAATCACAAAGATGCCAGTGTGCCACAGATCCACAGATATACAATCTGTACACAGTGGTGTACTCTGGTTTGGGGCCGCCCTAGGCAAGACGAAACTAGAGCGCCCCCCCACTTAATCTGCAGGATCTCAGGGGGGCTGTGCAGGATCTGTGGTGGGCTCTGTCTTGGAGCCCACCACAGAACCTGCAAAGCCTCTGAGACCCCGCAGAGCCCACCACAGATCCTGCAAAGCCCCCGAGACCCTGCAGAGCCCACCACAGATCATGCACACACCCCCTAAGACCCTGCAGACCAGTGCGGGATGTGTGGTGGGCTCTGGCCAACATAGACTCCACCACAGATCCTGTGTAGCTCACCCGAGACTCTCAGGTGGGCTGTGCAGGGTACCTTAAGCAGCAGTGTGATCATCTTACCTGCTGCTTGGTCCCCGGCCTCCTCCACCGATGGACTGGTGCTGCAGGACCCGGCCTCCTTCGCACCTCGACGGCTCTTCTATGACCCAGTGTTCTGTCAAGCATGCACCGGCTTCCTATAGCGTGATGGCACCCTGGCCCCGCCCCTTTCTGATACGACATGGTCTCTGCCTCGCCCCGCCCCCTCCTGCTGGTCCGTCT